CTAACCTGGAATGAGAAGAATGCTTCTCTCAGTGAGCAAGGAATGAACTCAAGGATCAAGAGAACGAGGTAACAATATGGTGCTCTACCCTCCCACGCACAGCAGAGCAAGGAGCATCACGCACAGTTCTGACCTTCAAAATGGCTGAACTGTTCTTTGCATTTTTCAGCCATGCTTATGGAAGAGAATCTTAGAGACTGGGCAGGGGTGCATATTAGTATGGACAAGAGCCACCTGGAGAGTGGCGTGAAGAACACACCTGCCACAGGGGTTTGGATTCTAGCCATCTGGACTGGGCCCAGGGACCCACACTCTGAAATTCCCTCTCTGGGTGATCCAGGCACAGGCTGCAGCCTCTGGGAGAACAGGGACACCTCTCCAGGGACTTCTACAGTTAGAAGGCTTTGCTTTCAACCCTCCCTCCCAAAATTCCCTCATGGAACATTCTTGCTCTCATTTTATTGCTTCTATGACTTAGAATTTAGGTGAAAGTGCTTCTCTGCCCTCAGGTGTGGCTGGTTTTTTGGGTTAAAAAGTTGTTCTTACTCGACCTCTGTTCCTCCTCCCCACCCACCTACCACACACATTGTGTAAGCGAAAAGTGAGTTTATTTTGTTGATCTAATTTCTCCTTTATCATTTGCTGTCAAATGAGGACTAGGAAATGCTGACTGGGCAGAAAGTTCCAACCCTTCCGCTGAAGACGGCCAAAGGCCTTGGGTATTAACAGAGAAGTGAAGGAGGCCACCAAAGGCAGAGCTGGGGAAAGGCACAAGTCTTGAAGAGCAAATGTGCAAACGGACACCCACTCTAGGTCGTCAGCTGAGATAAAAGGGCAATGAGGTGGCCCACAACAATTCCTTGGGGGCTGGAGAGGCAGTGCTGGCAAATCAGGAAGCGATAAATGTGTAGCTTTTCTATCATTTCTTACATTAAATATTCAGCATCACCCAATGCTGCTTACTATTCAGCCTTGGTACATTTCTCCAAATTCTATTCATCTTTTTTTTTTTTTAAAGATTTTATTTATTTATTTGACAGAGATCAAGTAGGCAGAGAGGCAGGCAGAGACAGAGAGGGGGGAAGCAGGCTCCCCACTGAGCAGGGAGCCCGATCCCAGGACCCTGGGATCATGACCTAAGCCGAAGGCAGAGGCTTTAACCCACTGAGCCACCCAGGCGCCCCAAATTCTATTCATCTTAAACACAGCAGACTGATAATGTAAAGGCCCTAAATCTCTGGACTTGGCCATCTGAAATGAGATCTTTTATCCTTTTCTTCTCCATGTTTCCAGAACACATTTTCATAGCATACTTGCAAAGGGAAAGATGATCAGAAAAAGAAAAATGTTTGGTAGTAAACTAGGAAAGAATATTATACCAAAGGTTTTGGTAGAAAAATATTTATGTCCACAAGCACAAGCCATACCCTTTCTGGGAAGATATTACTGGCCTTGAAGCTGGGTTAGTGGATCCCAAAATATACCTCACAAAAAAGCACAGTTACCCTCCCAAAATAAGCCCTATAATTAAAATCTTTTCAAGTGGATTGTCCTATATCACAACTTGACATATGTTGCTTTAATCTCCCTGCTTCAGCAAATGTAGCCGTCTTTGGGCTATAGAAGCTCTCAACAACTTACATTTAAACCAGACTGTGGTGTCACTAGGAAATTGATGCAAATAAACAGCACTGTGTACCAAAATACCCAATCTCAATCATCTGTAATGAGATCTCCCTCCTCCCTAAGCACATTTTCATCACAACAGAATCACTGCCCTTGATTCAAAAGGAAGGACTAGCCCAGATTGAAATGCCATTTCATCTCAGGGATCGAAAGGCAGGCACTTCTGAAGAAGCCGGGGCTGAAATTAAAATTGGAGACAACCTCCTTTGTGTGAATGTGGGGGTCATGTTGTGTGAGTCTCATTTTTAGTTGACAATCATCAGTGTAAGCCTTCAGACGCCCAACTGTCTGTCTGAATTCATTTAAGTCAGTTCTTGCTCGGAGTTAGGGGTGGTGTAAGAGAGAGAGCCTCTTACAAGACCTTTCAGGCCTATGATTCTCTGACCAAACTTCTCTGTTTTCTAGTTATATATTTACATATAATTAGATGTTAAAATATTTAAAATTTTAAACCTTCAAAATAATAAGTACTTCCGATATTTGAATTTTTTTATTACTTCCATATCAGGTATCTCGGTGTCAGCATCACTGACACCTTGGGCCTGGTCATTGTGGGTGGGGGGTGCTGCTGTCCTGTGCTCTGTAGGACAGTTAGCTGCACCCACGGCCTCCACCCACTAGGTGTCAGTACACACATTCACACCCCCCCACCCCACCCCCCCCACCCCGCCCCCAGCTGTGACAACCAAAAATGTCTTCAGACATTGCCAAATGTCCTTTGGGAGAACAAAATTAACTCGGGTTGAGAACCACAGCGCTCTCTCTTTCTCTCTATTTATGTATTTATATATCTCACCGTGACGTGGCCGGGGCGGGGGTGATAGATTTTTTAAGGCACTCACAAGTTTACGTTTTAAGAATTTTAAACTTCCTATGATTCATAATGAATTGTTAGGATCTGTGACACAGTGCTACCTTGAAAGATTTATAAACAGCACTACTGCTCTCTTCAACAAAGGGTGGCAAGGCCTGGCCTCATTTCAGTCAAGACACTTAAGAGAGAAGGGTTTTGCTGTCACCCTAGCTCTTGGACGGCTATCCTCCCTACTTTGAGGAGTTCCATTCTTAGAAGACTACTGTTAAGAAATCCTTCACAATCTATTACCAGGCACTCAGTACCGACTGCAAAGGAAGAGGATTATTGACATTTTCTATAGAAATTGACATTTTCTATAGAAGCAATGGCCCTCTATACTGCTCATGGGCCAGGTCACCTTAGGGGCAGCGTTAGGGGAGGGAGAGGGAAATAACATCAGGACACAAACAGTACAAGGATGGAACATGATTAAGTTGAGCCCAGAGAAGAGATGATGAATGATGGAGAGGTTCTTCAAACACCTGAAGAGCTGGTGTGTGAGAGAGTGGGTAGACTTTTCTCTGTCTGCTTAGAACATGACTACAAGCATAGTTGGCTCAATAAGTACTTATCATAGGCCTTCTAGGTGCCAGGCACTGTCTAGGCACTGGGACCAGAGGAAGGAAGAAGACCAAGTTCCTGGCTCACGGAGCACATACCATTCAACGTAAGGACTAGATTGCTTTCCTCCCCTCTCTCTCTCCCTTCTTTCTTCCTACTTTCTTTTTAACAATTTGAGCTAAATATCCAGGTATTTGTCTAATTGCTTGGTTTTTTATTTTTCCTATTTTAAAACTGAGATTTAATTAACAGAGCAAAATTCACCCTTTTATCATAGAGCTCTATGAATTTTCATGAAACATACAGTTGTATAAATATGGCCACAGATCCAAGATCCAGAACGATATCATTACCCCCTTGACTCTTCCTGTGTCCCTTAACTGCTTTCTTTACTTGGAGCATGCTGCTTTATGTAGTGCCAGCTCCTCACCTGAGAGAATTCGGACTCCCCTGTCACAGATTCTGTAGAAGAGACCTTGTTTTGGCTGGTGGGAGAATGGGCCAGACAAGCCCTGAGGCTATGGCCATCTCTTCGATTCCGTGAAACCAGAGGGGTCCACATAGGGACACCAATCTTTAACACCAGCCCATCTGCAGTGAGTGATCTGGTTAATTCCTTCCAACCACAGATAAAAGCCCTATCCCAGAGCCAAATTTTTTTAGTCAAAGCTCAAAAATTTCAGCCCAGTAACTGGACCTCTGCGAAGGGTGCCTAGTAAGCACAGATGAAAAAAATCAGAAGAAAGGTTTGGAAACAAAAGCCTAAATATGGTAACTGCTCCCAACTCTTCTTTTCCTTCTCATTATTTTTGTTCAAAGTAACATTAACTTCAAAACCAAACAAAACTCTGACAAATGTAACTGCACTTGTCTGCAGAGGTGGCAGGAAGGGAAGTTAAATTTGCCAAGCCTCTCTAAGAATGGGTAGACAGGAGGCGAGAAAATGACAAATGTCTGGGGGTTGCCATAGTGTGTTATGGAGTGGACTCTGGAGGACAGTCTGTGGTGATCGGCCGTGACATCCCTTGGGACAGCAAAGGTGGTGTGCCATCCCCAGTGGCCCTCCTGCTGGGAGATATGTACACCTTTGGGTGGTTTGACTTCAGTGATAAATGCCCCGTTTCCAAACAAGGCTGTCCCGTTTTCAAGAATAACTATTTTACTGAGCCACTCTTACGCCCCAGCACCACCTCGCTCAGTTTACTCTCGCGACAACTGTACGAAGTGGGTAACATTACAAGCCTCATTTTACAGACGAGGAAACTGAGGCTCAGAGAGTAATGTACCAACCAGTTAGCAATTGAACTTAAATTTTAGCCGAGGTTGCCTGACCCTGAAGACTGTTCTTACTACTACTAGGAAGGTATTCTGGGTGGTTGCCGAACTTAATGTCCTTGGTCTCTTGGGCCACTGTCATTGGTGGAACTGACTCCCACACATGACGGGGCTCTCGATTCCCTTCCGTTTCCCATTCCCCAAACAGCCAATTGCCATTTCTCACTTCAACAGACAGGCCGGAAGGATTTCTCTGCTGGGGAGACTTTCTGTCGCTGTTGTTACCCTACTGGTCTGCCCTTCATCACACTTAAATTCCGTGGCTTACTTAGACCATAAGCTAACTGTCAAGGGTATTCTTTACCCTGCGTCCAGAAGCTTCCCTAAATCTAGACTTCTTATCGAACCTTAGACAACCCCCTATTTCTTAATAACATCAGCAATGACAAGAAAAAATGTCATACTGTCAACAAGTACTGACTGAATGTCACATCTAATTATAAAACCCCATTTTGTCTAAGTTAAGTGCAGATTTAAAAGATGCATGAAACGAGACAATGGCTACCCTTTGGGGCACCATTTTACAACAAAAGGTATTAGAAATAAATGCAGCAACACTTACCAAAATTTCCCCCAACTATTACAAACTTTATATACACCGCATGTCTTCTTCTACAGCTGCTGGACCGGTCCTGAAAAACAAACCACGACAAAAGGAAAAAAATACATCGCTGAACAGAAGTCATTTGCTTCTGGAAACCACGTAGTCTTCCTCATTTGGGGCCCTCATCCATGTACCAAAGCCTTACTGCCAGATTCTTCTCTGTTTTTCCCAGATGGAAACAATTTATAAGTTAACAAATAAATAAAACTCTGGAGGATGAAATAAACCAGAAGCTTTGCTCCTACTTTATTTGATTTTTAGCCCTTTAAAATAATTAAAGACAAAACAATGCAAAAAATATCTAAAAGTGAACTCACAAAAATTTTCCCCAAACCAATTCTTTTTCCTACTTCTTTCAATAACACACTCTCTTTTCCCTTGCTGACTGTGAGACCCTCACCTTTCATTTCTGAAGTTCATTTCCTTATCTGTAAATCAGGGATTATTGTACTGACCTCCCAGGGTGGTTATGGAGATTAAATGAGATAAATTTAATGACATATAAATGTCACAGAGCAAGGCTTAAAACAGCATCTGGCATGTCGTAAACACTTAGTGCATGCAAGGAGCTATTATCTGTCTCCTAATCAGCCAGGCTTGAAAACAAACCCGGCCTTCCTCACCTCCTCGGTAAACTAGGGCCCCAGCCTGCCCTTCTGGTCCCGCGGGTGTGCTGGAACTCAGCGCCTCACTCCATCTTATCATTACACCAGCTGGCATAGCTCCTTGAAGAAACTGGTTCCCTAGCCCCAGGTTTGTTACCTTCCAATCCTGTTCTCATGGTTCTGGAAGGCATTCTTCCTAAACACAGCTTAAAGCCTTGTGGAAACACCTTCCACTGTTTCCCGTGACCTACAAATTTACGTGTGAAGTTACATTAGCCTGGGACTCCAGCTCCCCTCTGCTCTATCCCCACAGCTTCCCACCGGAAGCTATAGTGTCCCGTCACCTGTCCTGCCTGAGTCCATGGGCATGCCAGAGAGTGTCTCTGTCTACGAATTGCCGGTAGGAGCCTAGCCACTTTCTGAGGCAGGGGCCCTTGGTCTTCTTTGTCCCATAGCAGTCTAGAGACATGTTTCTCAGAATAATGTTTTTAAATGCTTGAAATTAATGCAGGAAATGAACAGGGTTCAAAAGAAGTATATTGATAGTTATCAAAATATATAACAAAATTATGATGTCTTTCTTTTCATATTTAAATAAGTTCCAGCAAAAGTCTAAAAATTACTGTAATTTGAAGTGCTGTTGGGCATAAATGATATTTTAGGATATCTATAACCAAATGTAATATGAAAATACCCATAATTTCTATTGGTAAAAAAAAAACTAATGCTACTTTGTAATAGAAGGAAATATTAGATTTTGGTTAAGGGTTAGTGAAAACAATTTTTTCCCCCATCCAAGTTCACAGAGCCCTGAATTCCACTCATGGACTCAGGTTATGAGCTCCTGCTTTTAGGCCTGGCCTAACTCTCCTCTTCTTCTTGAGTCTGCCCACCCTTCCCTCCTTCTTTCTTTCCTTCCTTCCTTCCAGATTTTATTTGTTTGAAATAGAGAGAGAGAGAGAGAGCATGAGCATGAGCAGAGGGGAAGGGAGGGGCAGGGGGAGGGGGAGAAGCTAGCTCTCTGCTGAGTAAAAAAAAAAGCCTGGGACCATAACTTGAGCTGAAGGCAGATGCTTGACTGACTGAGCCACACAGATGCCCCTCCTTGAGCCCTTTCTACCTTAATTTTCCCAATGGCTATGATCTTACCTCTCTTTTTCTCTTTTCAAAAATTATGTTTCGGGGCGCCTGGGTGGCTCAGTGGGTTAAGCCGCTGCCTTCGGCTCAGGTCATGATCTCAGGGTCCTGGGATCGAGTCCCGCATCAGGCTCTCTGCTCAGCAGGGAGCCTGCTTCCCTCTCTCTCTCTCTCTCTCTCTGCCTGCCTCTCCGTCTACTTGTGATCTCTCTCTCTGTCAAATAAATAAATAAAATCTTTAAAAAAAATTATGTTTCACTTGATATAGATACTTGAAATACACTTACTGTATCCTACTTTTTAGGCTGTAAGGGAAGGTGCTGTTTTTTTTTGATTCCTCCTGTGGCTAACAGCATTTTGCCTCATAGCACACACGGGCCGGAAGGCGTGCGGCAGGCACTATTTGAATCAATCAGTGAGTCTAAGGGCTTTCTTGCCGGCCCCCCCCAGATCACCTATTATGACTATGATTTCACCTCTCTTTGGCAGGCTGTAAGGTCCTAAATATGTAGACAGGACTCCTAAACACTCCATATTTTGAGTATAAATTACTGAAGTTAGGCAACAAAGTGTTCTCTTCTTTCACTTCTCTTTAGAGTACTTCTCTTTAGGACACTCAGCTGGGGCTACTGACTGACAGATCCCCGGGACAGAGCAGCGGTCCAGTCACCCCGTCACACTGGGGTATCTGCATGATACAGGCACGGTTCCTGCCTTCACGGAGCACTGAGTCCAGCAGCTTCCCCCACCTGGTAGAGAGGAGCTGGGAATCTCTCAACCTTTCACGGGTTTTGCAAAGATGAGAAATATCTGGTGATTTCCTACGTAGGGGCACCTTGGTGACCTATGTAGGCAAGGCCAATGAAGATTTGCTCTGGCTTCCCATTTGTCTTACAGATGTGAGCCTGTGGTTCCCGTAGATGGGGAACTGAAATGTCATCTTCACTCCTAAGTGACACTGTCCTTGCATATGATGTCAGAGATTAAAATCCCACCAAAGAGACTGTCTCAGGAAGGTCTGCTTCACATCTGGCTGCGTACTTCACTCTGAGCCCCACTGGGTCTACGATGGATCTGCCCCGGGATGGACACCAGTCCTTTGGTCTCACCAGCTTTTCCCCTAAACAGCTGCAGCCCAGGACTCCTGTGTGTCTTTTATTAAGAAAACTTCAAAAATAACAGAATAGGGGGTATCTAGCTAGTTCAGTTGGAAAAGCATGTGATTCTTGGTATCAGGGTCATGGATTTGAGTCCCAGACGGGTGTAGAGGTCACTTAAATAAGTAGACTTACAAAAAAAAAAAAAAAATCACAAAATAGTTCTTCCTTTTCGAATGGTGAGAGCATAATGATTTTCTCCCCTGATAATCACTCATAAAGGCACTGTGACCATTTGCTTTGGCATAAATCCACCACTGGCAGCATTTTTCATGCTCAACATCATATCAAGTGACTCTGAGGACAGTAGGGGTATACTCTCTCTCCCCGAGAACCAAGACAGATGACACATTCACTCAGATCAAAGGCTGGGCTTGGCACACTCTTTTTAAACTTACGGACATTTACATCCATCTCATTTGAATTTGTTCTTTTCGAGACACACTAGATATATGATATTAAATAAAAATAACTGAACGATAATGAGGAGGGCAACATGACTGTTTAATCTTTTGTTTCAAAGAATTATGACATATACATCCTCATAAATAGTAAGATACCAATAGGCAGTCCCACACAACACATTGCCCTGCATGAACTTTTTGCTTCTACTACAGACCCTGTGCAGCTCCTGGTTTAAAGTCAACATTCTCATTACCACTGGGAACAAATACCTCTAATACAGTCCTCACATGCATGGGTCAATCATTCCTTCGCCCTTCTTCCTAACAGATCCCCTATGTGCCTTCAGCCACAGAGCCTCAGGGGCAGGTGACAGCACTCCCAGCTGCTGGGTGGGGACCCGAAGGGCCCAAGGCTTTGTGGTATGCCACCCAGCAGAATCAACATCACTGGTGAGCTTCTGAGAAATGTTAGCTCTGAGGCCCCAGCCCAAACCTACCGAATCAGACTCTGTTTTATAAGATCCCCAGGTGATCTGTGTGTCCACAGGGTTTCAAATGCACTGATCTAAGGGGAACACATTCCTCTTGACAGTGATTGGTTCAAGATTAGGCATGTGACTCAATTCAGGCCAACATGATGTGAAGAATGTTTTTGCTGGGAACTTCTCATTCTGAGACAAATCCCCACCCCGCACCCCCCTTCCCCGCCCCGCTGAATGTTGTGTGGGACAGGATGCCTAGGACTTCTGTAGCTACCTTGCTCCAGTCTAATGATAAAGCTGGCTCAGAGAGGAGGGCAAAGACAAAAAGCCCCACTGAAGTGAAGTTGGGGTGACTCCATCAGGTCAATCCTGAAGTCTGTGGAACCAATGGAGCTCCAGTAAACTTCTTATTGCTTAGGCCTCCTTGGGTTGAGTTTTCAATTATCTGCCGCTGGAAAGCATCTTTCCAGCAAATCAGTGTCCCGTAAGCATTATAAAAAGAACAGAACCTCTAGACTTTGAGCTCAGCCACATGCTGAAGAGTCCAGACAAGTCAGTGCATTGATAGACTAGAGCAACAGTTTAGATACTTGCTTTGTGCGGGGAACTGACCCAGGAGGATTTCTGGTTCTGACAACCTGACAACCTTTGTTTGCTTTGCGCATTTCCAAAAGCTTTCTAAATCAGCCAGTTTAAGTGATCAACCAGGGGAAGTGCTGAACACTTTCCAAACTGTTTTAACCAGAGTGGTCAGCAGTTGCTTTCCCCAGAAGCCACATGGATGTCATTTCCTGTAAAGACAATGGGAGACTAATTGTTCAGCCTCAGACTCCAGTAGGGAAGGCAACCTGTGACATGTAATTACTGGCAGGGTAAATAAAAATAAATAGGGTATTGAAAAGCTTGAGGATCTCAGAATCTGCTTCTGGATCTACTCCAGTAACTCGGGGAAAAGTTAAAAAAAAAAAGCACCAGCTGGTCTAGGAAAAGATTTGAGGGGCTAGCAACTTAGGTAGTCATCTATAGCATTTTTACATACCCTGGTATTTATAAAAGACCTTCCCAAGGAGACCAAATAGAGCCGCTCTTGTAGAAAACCATATAGGACTCTGGTGTAATTTTGCTTCATATACGGGGGTGATGTAGTCAAGGAGGCCGGGCGTCTAACTGGACATTCTCTCTTCTCTGTGTTATAGCTTCTTAGCCACAACAGGATATTTTGAGGACGGGTTTGCTGTGTTGG